TGGTTTGAGATCAAGCGATGGCGCCGCCAGCAGCAGCACGCCAAGATTGTCGGCGACCACACGTACGACTCGATGGATGTCATTTACATCGCCTCGCGCCCGACCACTGCTTCATGGGGCATCAAACTCGCCTCCCGCTTCTCGGGCAAGCGTCAGATTCTCGCGCGCTGGGCCTTTGCATACGCGACGTCTCTCCCCGCGCTGTTCGTGCTTTCTCTCGCGCTCGCCGGCTTCTTTGCCTGCTTGTGCCAGTTTGTCCTGCTCAAGGCCATCGAACGCACCGTGCCGGAGCTGGCCAACCAAGTGGGCGAATTCGCAGAGGACGTTGTCGGCAGCCTGGCTGCGGTATCCAAGGAGTGGGCTGATGGCGCCAACGGTGTGGTGCTCTCAACCCAGGATGAGATCAACAACGATCTTCTCGGCTGGGTGAGGGAGGCCACGGGCTCGGTCAACGACACGCTCAACACGTTCACCGATGGCATGGCAACTGGCCTCGAGACAGTTTTCAACGGCACAATCCTCATCAAGCCCATCAAGGACGTCATCTTCTGCACGATCGGCCTCAAGGTCGAGGCCGTTCAGAAGGGTCTCACCTGGGTGCACGACCACGCCAAGGTCACCCTTCCCCAGTTTGCCAACGACACTTTCAGCATGGGCGCGCAGGAGTCGATCGGCGATGACTCTGATCTCACGACCTTCCTGGCCACGCCATCTTCTGTCACAACCGACGAGGTGACAGGCGCCGTCCAGTACGTCGTGGACAAGATCCGCAACCACATCGTCACCGAAGCACTCATCTCCACCGGCATCCTTCTCGTTTATGTCATCATTGTCCTCATCGGTGTGATTCGCGCGCTCGTCGGCATGGCCATGCCAGACAAGGGACGCGGCGAGGGCGGCATGCGATACACAGGCGACGCCAGGCCGCCGCTGACGCCCCGTGAGGCGACGCACCACTCGGACGAGCGGTTCCCCCACTTTGGCAGCGAAGCCTCAGCGGTGGGCCGAACGGACGATGAAAATTACTACGCGCGCGAGGCCGAGAACGAGAAGTATGTCTCCAAGGTGGCGGGCGGCAGGGCACAGGCGATGACCTCGCCCAAGAGGATAAGCTCTTATGGGCAGTTTGAAGGGTCAGGCAACAAGTTCTGAGCCGTTTGAAGAGGAACAAGAAGAACAGAAGGGAAAATCTACCCAAAACACGAAACAAAAAAAAAAAGAATGGACGATTGAACGACCTGGAACTCATTCCTCCGGCTAACGGCTGGACCCAAGGCCGAGAGAGACTCTCCTTTTCAATGCAGATAAGACGATTTTTGCATACAGGTCCAAGCGAGGCGTGTCGAGGGTATCTGATTGACATTTTGGGCGGGTTATACGGAAATCTTTTTTTTTTGCATAGAGGACATGGTCTCCAAGTACCTGACCTTGATGCTTTGCCTCCATTTTTTTGTGGAGGGGTTGAAGATACCATTCTCTTTCTTTGCGCATCTCGGAGTATGCTCTTGTTTGCCCTTTGGCCACACGGCACATGGTACACACAGATTGCAAACTGCATTACTTTGGTACTGTAGTAGTGAGTCCAGTCACGCGCCAGATTGACTTGTCGTAGCTGGGAAGATCAATAAACCACACTGCAAACCATGAGCCTTGAGAATTATGATGTTTTGCGTGCATCCAACTGGGCCTACACTGTTCGTCGGAGTTGATGGCACGACGGCCCCAGGATCGACAACGGTGTCGGAGTCGGAGGCTTTGGTGGTGAGTCAGGGTCTGTATCAGTGGCGGAGGACGACATGTGCGTCCCTTTTCGGGCACCTCCGCTGGCGATCGCCAAGCGCGGCGCTGCCCAGTGCTGGGGGCAGGCGCAAGGAGCCACCCGTTCCGGCATCGGTCAGTGGCGACGAGGGCTCCACTTTCTCCAGGTGGTACCTTCCTATGCCCCCGCCCGAGGCCTCGAGCACTCACTGGAAGGAGGCACTGAGAGAGAGAGGCGCCTTTCCCATGCTCGAGGCATCGAAGCTGGAGTGCAGCGCTCGGCGGCTTGGCCGCTGCAGCGACTCCGACGTAGGACTAGTCTCGCCCGGAGCTTCAGTACCCACCACCAGCGGCGCTACGTACCTGGGCAGAGTAGGGATCTCTGCGAAAGTGACTATGACCGTGACCTCCCCCACCGCCTCTACATCACCACTTCTTAAGAACAACTTGACCCCTCCCCGCATTGAGATTATCAGCAGCAAGCTTCAACCTACTGCACATCAATTGGGATCATTGCACATTCGGCAGCACCATGGATCACATTCGCAAGACTTTTCAGCGCTGCAAGGCCGAGAACAGGGTGAGTCGAGTCCCACCTCCATTTGCCCCTCGTCCTCCAAATCGCGGGGCACTTTTTCCTTCACCCCGCCACCGAACACACCACGCACGATGGCATGGCCTCGAAAAATCCATCAGCTCTCGTCGACGGGAAAACGTAACTGACAAGCGATGACAGTCAGCCCTCGTGACATATGTCACCGCCGGCTTTCCTACGGCTGAGGAGACGCCTGATATTCTCCTCGCTATGGAGAAGGGTGGAGCTGGTGAGTCTTGACGATGGATCAGTCCTCCATACGACTTTGATCCTGACATGGCCAGATATCCTCGAGCTCGGCGCGCCCTTCACAGACCCTATCGCCGACGGCCCGACCATTCAGACCTCCAACACAATTGCTCTGCAAAATGGCGTCACCATCGAGTCCACACTGAAGATGGTCAAGGATGCGAGGAGTAAGGGCCTCAAGGCGCCAGTTCTGCTGATGGGATACTACAACCCTCTCTTGAGTTACGGCGAGGAGAGGCTCCTCAACGACTGCGCTGACAGCGGCGTCAATGGCTTCATCGTTGTCGACCTGCCGCCCGAGGAGGCCGTCTCGTTCCGCAAGCTTTGCAACAAGGGACAGTACGTCATGGACACACCTGTCCTCGGGAGATTCGAATTCTTTGGCCGTTGTACTGACACCCAGTAGACTCTCCTACGTTCCCCTTATCGCGCCCGCCACATCTGATGCCCGCATGAAGATTCTCTGCCAGCTCGCCGACTCTTTCATCTACGTCGTTTCCCGCCAAGGCGTTACCGGTGCCCTCGGCTCCCTGAACGCCAACCTCCCCGAACTCATCTCCCGCGTGAAGAAGTACAGCGGCGACAAGCCCGCCGCTGTCGGCTTTGGCGTCAGCACCCGCGAACACTTCCAGAGCCTTGCTACCCTCTCCGATGGTGTCGTCGTCGGCAGCCAGATCATCACGACCCTGCAGAAGGCCACCCCTGAGAACCGCCTCAAGGACCTCGAGGAGTACTGTGCCTATCTCGGCGGCCGCAGGCCCGAGGCCGCGAACGAAACGACGCGCGAAGTCGGCATCGTTGAGGCCATTGCCGATGCCAAGGCCCCCGAGCCCGTTCCTACCGGCCACCATCACGGCCGAGCAGGACAGCGACCTGAAAGGGCAGCTCGCCGCCATGCACGGCAAGATTCCCGAGCGCTTCGGCGAATTCGGCGGACAGTACGTTCCCGAGAGTCTGATGGACTGCCTGTCTGAGCTCGAGGAGGGCTTCAACAAGATCAACAACGACCCCAAGTTCTGGGAGGAGTACAGGTCCTACTACGACTACATGGGCCGACCTGGCCACCTGCACCTCGCAGAGCGCCTGACAGAGCACGCTGGAGGTGCCAACATTTGGTTGAAGCGTGAGGATCTCAACCACACGGGCTCCCACAAGATCAACAATGCGCTGGGTTTTTTTTCTGTTTGGCGAAGCGCCTCGGAAAGACTATTTTTTGGGGGGGGGAACAGGCGCCGGCCAGCACGGTGTCGCGACGGCGACTGTCTGCGCCAAGTTCGGCATGGAGTGCACCGTCTACATGGGCGCCGAGGACGTGCGCCGCCAGGCTCTCAACGTGTTCCGCATGAAGCTCCTCGGCGCCAAGGTTGTGGGC